GCCGGCCTGGCGTAGTTTGATTATGTTTTAGTGGGGGTTTTGTATGGGGTGTTTTTAGAACAGGCCTGTTATTTAATTTGATTTTAGCACAGAAACTATTTATTTATTATTGTGGTTTTTAGTATCGCCTGTTCACCGCCCTGAGTCCCGTAAGGGAGATAGGGCGGTATATAAATTTAATAAATAAATAAATAAATAATAAAGTTCAAGAGTGCTAATTTCATTTTGTAATTTAATAGATCCAAGATGAGAAACCGGCCTCGTTCTCCGTCTTTGACCTCGTCTCCAGTTTTTGCAATGATATTGTCAGCTCTGCTCAGAGTTTTATTTCTTCCACGTGGACCTTCTATCTGCAGGCAGATGATGGAAAAGTAGTCGTGTTTCAGGTAAGTAATGGCAAAAGTGGGGTGGGGAAGATTTAGGAAAGGAATAGTACCGTATATGAGAAACCTAGGTCAGAAAGGAATTAATGGGAGGGGTCTCTTTTTAATTGATTAGAATGCTCTTCTGCATTTGCATTACTCAGTATATTTAGTTACTGACTTAACTCACGTTATCTAGCACAGAACATTGAACCCTCAGCTAATTAACTGAATGATCTTGATTTCTGCAATATGTTAAGCCAGGAAAACAAAAATAACCTAACTCAAAATTAACATCAGTCAAACTGAATTTGCTGCACAGGTGCAGGCATTGACATATTATTGAACCTAGCCTGTTCAGATCTCTGGCAAGTGATTTCCCCCTAATTAAAATGTTAATTCACAGCACTTACAACTCATCTAATAGAACCAGATTTATGTAAAAATGCAAGCTACATGACTTTGTGGAGGCTCCTTCCTTCCTTCCTTCCTTCCTTCCTTCCTTCCTTCCTTCCTTCCTTTCTTCCCTTCTAGTTTCTTCCACAACAACATCCCTGTAAAGTAGGTTGAGCAGGTTAGTGACCTTCTAGGAGGAGGGGGCTCCGTGGTATCCGTAGTAGAACATCCAGATTCAGCCAGAGTTTCATTCCATACAGCATTAACCTTGCGAATTCTCGAGCTTCCTCCTTCCGTTATATATTCAAGATGGACAGTACTTAATATTTATTTGCTATGTATATGTAGCAAATGTAGCAAATGTAGGGGTGCGGGTCTATACATATGTTGTACATAGTATGTTTTAGGTGCGTGTTATGTATGTGTTTCACTTTGAGAGCGGGCAACTAAATTCATTTTTGATGTGTGCTGTTGTGCCCACAGTAAAAAAAATGACAATAAAAATGACAATCTTATCTTATCTTATCTTACCTTACCTTACCTTACCTTACCTTACCTTACCTTACCTTATCCAAAGAGTTTCCATGGCTGTGGGTGGACTTAGTACAATGCCTTAACCACTCCATCACCTTGGCTTTCTGTAGAATTGTAAGGACTTTTTTTCAACTTTCCAGTCTAGCCTAGAGTCCTGGGATTTCTTAGTGGTCTCTTATCTAATACAAATCAGGTCCAACCCTGTGTAGTCCTTAAGATCATCCATTATTGGTTAGGTGCTGCCACCTGCTGTGACCAAAGCAGATTAAAACCAAAGCAATTCATTAATTTCGAAGTCTTCTTTGAGCTGGGCTCTAGGACAACTCGCTGTGGACATTTCCATAAAAAAATGGGACATAAATATGGAAATGGCAGATAACAGTGGTGGATAATATTTATCGCGCTGAGTTATCTCACTTGGAATTGTCTTGTGGCAAGTGGTCTCATGGCGAGTTAGCGGCGGCAAGATGGTTGCGGTGAGTTGGACCATTTGAACTGAGCGCCGCTCCTTGTGACTCGTAGACCGTCCTTTTATGGCCAAAAGAGTAAGGGCAGGAGAAACTGCAGTCCACTTTTCTCCTGTGAGGGTGGAGCTGTGAGATTTTGAGGCAGAATGAGCACCTTTAGACTTGCAAATTGTGAAGATATGGGTAGTCCTCAAGTTAGGACCATAATGGAGCCTGCTATCATGGTCATCACTTATGATGAGCATAAAATGGGTTGGTCATGTGACTGACCCAATTTTATGATCTTTTTTGTGATGATCATTAAGCAAACCAATGGTTTGCTATAAAATAGAATAGAATAGAATAGAATAGAATAGAATAGAATAGAATAGAATAGAATAGAATAGAATAGAATAGAATAGAATAGAATAGAGCTGGAAGGGATCTTGGAGGTCTTCTAGTCCAGTCCCCTGCTCAAGGAGGAAATAGATGTGGTTTTATTGAAAACTGAAAGTAAATGCCAGTTTCTGGCAAAACCATCATAAAAGATGATCATGTGACCGTGGGACACTGCAAACAGCCATAAATGCAGTCAGGTTCCTGAACTGCAGTCATGTGATTGTGGGGTGGCTTGATTGTCAAAACTTCGAATTCAGATCATACATAAACCCAAGAGGGTCCGTCGGAACTTTGAACGGTTGCTAAGCCACTGGTCATAAATCAAGGATATGTCTACCCATTTTCCTCCTTGAAACCTGATCAGAAAGTAGACCCTAACCTGGCCCACCTTTTGAGTGTGACTATCAACCTCCAGCTCCAATTTCTAAATCAGGGGTCTTCAAACTTGGCCCTTTTATGACTTGTGGACTTCAATTCCCATAATTCCTCAGCCAGCTTGCCTGGCTGAGGAATTCTGGGAGTTGAAGTCCACAAGTCATAAAAGGACCAAGTTTGAAGACCCCTGCTTGTGGACTTCAACTCCTAGAATTCCCCAGCCAGGCATGCTGGCTGAGGAATTCTGGGAGTTGAAGTCCATAAGTCATAAAAGGGCCAAGTTTGAAGACCCCTGATCTAAATGAAGTCCAGGATTACTTTCACTGCTGAAAAAACATACTGTTTTATTGAATACGTGGCATGGTATATAGGCGAAAGAAAACTAACTCTGAAATCCCAAGACATCTAACCATAGCACCTAACAATGACATTCCCAGCCCAACCCTCCCCCCCCCAGATGTCCACGTAGCTCATGTGAACAAATTCTCTTTGTTATGAGAACTGCCTGTTCCCTTCTTCACACCTGCTAGAATGTCCTTGAAAATTTTCCAGACAGCCTTCTCTCAGCAAACTTCAGAAGAACTGGGGAGGTTTCATTTCTCCAACTAACCCAGACAAAAGCCTTATTTCCCCCCCCCCGCCACTTTAATCTTAATGGCAAGATGAAAACAAAGAGACATGTAGTAGTTGCCAAACTGTCACTCTTGATGCCAAACTTAGCCTATCCCAGGGATAGGCAACCTTGGCTCTTTTATGACTCATGGACTTCAACTCCCAGAATTCCTGAGCCAGCCATGCTGAGGGGAAAGGGAGAGGTTTCCAAGCTGAGCCATGCTGGCTCAGGAATTCTGGGAATTGAAGTCCACGAGTCATAAAAGAGCCAAGGTTGCCTACCCCTGGCCTAGCCCTTCCTTTGAGCCAAAGACAGCTATCCACTGCAGGTTTAAGCCTCCAGAAGACATGGTCCTTAAAGCTGTAGGAACACAGGGTCTGGAACGTGGTTTATGTGATACGTTTGCCTGGGACACCCTCATGAGAAAGTCAGCTCTCTTTAAACAAGATACAGTAGATTTGGAAGAACTTCAGAACCCTCCTGATGTCAATGCTGTGACAAGCCAAACTGAAGGCATTTTCATTTTGTCTTCATTGCCACATTTTTTAGTTAGAGATTTAGATGAAGGAAATGGGGGGGGGGGTGTAGTTCTCTGTTAGCCAAAACAATTTATATGTGTGTGAACCAAGGTCAGTGCTGATAACGTTTTGGCGGGCTGGAGAGCTGGGAGGAGAGCCCACATTTTGCTACAATTGGTGAACGTGATTTATGACAGCAAATTAGGGTGGGAATTGCAATTGTAACTTTGTAACCAGGGGGTGGGGATTGTTAGTTTTGGGTTCACCTATGTATGTGCCAGTACTTTGTTTCCAAATAAAATGTTCTCTAAGGAAGAAAGTTTTTCCTTGACGTTCCTTTAACCGGTTTCATCTATCGCAGTGTTTCTCAACCTTGTCAACTTTAAGATATGTGGACTTCAACTCCCAGAATCCCCCAGCCAGCATGATAGCTGAGGAATTCTGGGAGTTGAAGTCCACATATCTTAAAGTTGACAAGGTTGAGAAACACTGATACCGGAACCATGACACCTGAATGCTTAAGAGCCTCTTTACCTTTCTTTGACAGTCACAACCAGAAGTTGAGTATCCAGTTCCTGAGGCCCAGGCACCCAAGTCAGAGGTTTCGGAGAAGACTTGGACAGACTCAGCCCCCAACACCTTAAAGCCACACACAGGTAATGTGACGAATCAGGATGAATATGAGCTGGGCAAAGGCAGATTTAAACTGTCCATCAAAGATAATGATGGATACCACTTTCAACTCTTTTAAAAAGCAGACTTCCAAATCAGTGGGTTGTCAGTGATTTCTATGAGTCTTGGTGGTTAACGACTCTCTAAAACAATATTTCTCAACTTTGGCATCTTTAAGATGTGTGCACTTCAACTCCCAGAATTCCCCAGCCAGCTATGCTGGCGAGTTGGGAGTTGTAGCATTTCTGGGATTTGAAGTTCTCATATTTTAAAGGTGCCACGGTTACAAAACAGTACTAGAATGCAGGCTAGCATCCATTAAATCTTTGCTGTTGGGCAGAAACATCAGAAAATACTGCCCTGTCCAAGGCTGGTGCCTCCTGAATTTCTTCGGTTGGCCACCAAATTCAATGATTTGGATGAGGGGAAAGATGGGGAACTCATCAGATTTGCAGACAACACCAAGCTGGCAGGAATAGCCAACACTCCAGAAGACAGGCTTAGGATACAGGAGGATCTGGACAGACTTGAACATTGGGTGCTATCTAACAAAATGAAATTCAGTGGTGAAAAAAGTAAGGTTCTACATTTAGGCAAAAAAAACCCCAAATGCACAGGTACAGTATAGGTGGTACCTTGCTCAGTAGTAGTAACTGTGAGAGGGACCTCCGAGTCCTAGTGGACAATCACTTAAATATGAACCAGCCGTGTGCTGCAGCTGCCAAAAAAGCCAACCCAGTTCTAGGCTGCATTAACAGAGGGATAGAATCAAGATCACGTGAAGTATTAATACCACTTTACAATGCCTTGGTAAGGCCACACCTGGAATGCTGCATCCAGTTTTGGTCACCACGATGTAGAAAAGATGTTGAGACTCTAGAAAGAGTACAGAGAAAAGCAACAAAGGTGATTAGGGGACTGGAGGCTAAAACATATAAGGAATGGTTGCTGGAATTGGGCATGTCTAGTTTAACGAAGAGAAGGACGAGGGGGAACATGATAGCAGTGTTCCAATATCTCAAGGGCTGCCACAAAGAAGAGGGAGTCAAGCTATTCTCCAAAGCGCCTGAAGGCAGGACAAGAAGCAACGGATGGAAACTAACCAAAGAGAGAAGCACCCTAGAACTAAGGAGAAACTTCCTGATAGTTAGAACAATTAATCAGTGAAACAACCTGCCTCCAGAAGTTGTGAATGCTCCAACACTGGAAGTTTTTAAGAAGAGATTAGACAACCATTTGTCTGAAATGGTATAGGGTTTCCTGGCTCAACAGGGGTTGGACTAGATGACCTCCAAGGTCCCTTCCAACTGTTCTGTTCTGTTATGTTCCATTCCATATTTTCTATTCTATTCTATTCTATTCTATTCTATTCTATTCTATTCTATTCTATTCTATTCTATTCTATTCTATTCTATTCACAGCCTGCTGGGACAATTCAGCATAACTTTTCCCATTCTTACAATCTTGAGCGCTTCAAGGAAATCTCTGTGACACCAATGCTCAGTGAGCTGCACTGCTTACCAGTCTGCTTCCGTGTGCAATTCAAGGGGTTGGTGATCACCTTTAAAGCCCTTCATGGCATGGATCCAGGTTATTTGAAGGAAGGTTTCACCTCACTGGGATTAGCCTGTACCACATGTGCCAACAGAGGGTCCCGTCAGCCCGAGTATTCCAGCTGGCCAGTTCTTATAGTAATAATAATAATGAAGTTGGAAGGGACTTTGGAGGTCATCTAGTCCAACCCCCTGCTCAGGCAGAAAACCCTATACCATTGCAGACAAATGGCTGTCCAGTCTCTTCTTAAAAACTTCCAGTGTTGGAGCATTCAGGGTCCAGGAGGAGGGCCTTCTCTGCTCTGGCTCCTGCTCTCTGGAATATCTCCCCCCCCCGATGTGAGGTTGGCCCGCACCCTCCCATCCTATCATAACGGCCTAAAGACATGGCTCTGCCAGTCGGCTTGGGGACCCAGTGGGGGATCAGCTCACTGGAGGTGGTCGATTGAGTAATAACAGATCCCACTTCCCCCCTCCCACTGCGCTCCTGCCCTCCCCACGTGTCTTTGGCTTTAAGGTTTCACTTTTAACATTTTTGTTTTAAATAAGATGTAACTGTAAGCCACCCAGAGTTACCCTACGGCAGTGGTGGCGAACCTATGGCACGGGTGCCAGAGGAGGCACTCGGAGCCCTCTCTGTGGGCACACGTGCTGTTGCCCCAGCCTTGCCCCCCCTGCAACCCCCTCACCAGCAGCCCCCCTGGAGGAGAGTCGCCCCCCGAGCGTGGCCCACATGGAGCAGCGCAGCCAAGGACATGGCAGCCAGGCAGCGTAGACAAGACTCTGCCCTCACGCCCCATTGTGCACAGTTGATGCTGCAAGGCACGGGCAGAGAGTGTGGCTGCCATGGTGCTGCTGGGCTGCCTGGGTGATCTGCGGCGGGCCCTGGAGGTAGTGAGTGGCCCTGCGGGCAGGCGGGGTGGGGGCAGAGCGGGGGCGGGGCAGGGGATGGAGCAGAGGCAGGGCCAGTTTTGGGGCACTCGGTCTCTAAAAGGTTCGCCATCCCTGCCCTATGGGAAGATGGGCGGCCAATAAATTTTAAATATAAACAAATAAACTTGCTAGTGCCCGGCTCTTTGTAACCTGCTTCTCTCGTTTCCTTTTTATTTTTCTTCTTTCTTACGTTTTATTACGTTTTCTTTTCAGGCCTTCAGGAGAAATTGGAGAAGCCTCCGATCGAAGAGCCCAAGAGTCCAGACCCAGACCCAGCCCAGCCCGTGGTGGAGTCTCAGATGCCTCTGGAGCACGATTTCCTGGGCTGCATGTCCAAGTAATACCGCTCTGGGTTTTTTTTTAATCTTGTGGTTTAGAATTTAGGAAGACAGGGAAACTGAGGAAGTCGGGGAATGAAAATTGTACTTGGGTTGGATCAGATGCAAAACAAACTGTGGGTGAAGCTGACCGTGAGGGCGGGGTAATCCAAACATCTGCATTTGGCTTGAGGAAAGTGCTGCTTTCCCTTCCTTTTCCCCCCTTTGTTTTCTTTCCTCTACATTAAATTCATACAGGTAGCCTCTGACTTACAAGCATTTGTTTAGTGTAGTGGTTCTCAACCTGTGGATCGGGACCGCATTTGGGGTCGATCGACCATTTCACGGGGGTCGCCAAGCAAGGCTGTCCGCCATTTTTTTTGTCCGCCATTTTTTTTGTCCGCCATTTTTTTCCCCTTTTCCGGCGGGTGCCTTACCTCCCTTGGGCTGGGCCAGCTGGTGGTCGGCCTGCTCCATCTCTGCCGCTTGCCAGCTACGCCTCAGCCGGCGCAGGGGGCGGAACCACGCATGCGCGGCGCTCCCAGGCAGGGAAAGTCCTTGACTTACGACCGGTTGGGTAGTCCTCGACTTACGACCGGTTTAGTCCTCAACTTACGACCGGTTTAGTCCTCGACTTACGACCGGTTTAGTCCTCGACTTACGACCGGTTGGGGTCGCGGCATTAAAAAGGTTGAGAACCACTGGTTTAGTGACTATTTTTTTTTGTCATATGACCATAGGGATGCAGCTATGGTCATAAGTGTGAAAAGCGGTCATAAGTCACTTCTTTTTAGTGCCAAATGGTCACTAAATGAATGGATGTAAGTCGATGGTTGTATTATAACTTTTAAAATAAAATAAAAATAATATTGGCCAGCTGCCCTTTGGTTTTCTAGCTTAGTCTACATCAGGGGTAGGCAACCTTGGCTCTTTTATGACTCGTGGAGTTCAACTCCCAGAATTCCTGAGCCAGCCATGCTGAGGGGACAGGGAGAGGTTTCCATGCTGAGCTATGCTGGCTCAGGAATTCTGGGAGTTGAAGTCCATGAGTCATAAAAGAGCCAAGGTTGCCTACCTCTGGTCTATATTGAATGACTGACACTAGTAATTTCTTTCTTTGGGGGTATTTTTTTCCCTTTTTCTGTTTTAATTTTTTTCATTTATTAGTTCTCTTTATTTTCATGGTTTCTTTATTAGGTGTAATTTAGTTCATCTTTTGTAGTCTTGTTGAGATGTATTTTCTTTAAAAAATATTAAGAACTCAGGTTGATAGCTCTGACGGTATGACCGAAGCTCCATCTGTATTTTTTTTTTAATGTGCATCAATGTAGATTAAAAAACAGATGGAGCTTCGATTGCACAGTTGCCATCACCATCTCCATTTTTCTGATCCGCCCTTTCAGACAGTCCTAGTTAGATTAGATCCCTAATTAAACAGCAAAAGCTCTGTGAAATGTTAAATAAAGAATAAAACATTGGCAGAAGTACCAGTTAGAAATCAATAGTTAATCAGCACTCAGAAGTAAAGCAAAAATCTTCATCAATGTGTAGATGTATTACATTTTTTATCAGCCTTTATAACATTAGTTATTTACTCAAGGCAGTGAATATACCTAACACACTCCTCCTCCTATTTTCCTCACAACGGCAACCCTGGGAGGAGGTTTGGGCTGAGAGAGAGTGATTGGCCCAAAATCACCCAGCCAGCTTTCATGCCCAAGGTGGGACTAGAACTCCCAGTCTCCTGGTGATTGGCCCAAAGTCACCCAGCTGGCTTTCATGCCCAAGGTGGGACTAGAACTCCCAGTCTCCTGGTGATTGGCCCAAAGTCACCCAGCCGGCGTTCATGCCCAAGATGGGACTACAACTCCCAGTCTCCTGGTGATTGGCCCAAAATCACCCAGCCGGCTTTCATGCCCAAGGTGGGACTAGAACTCCCAGTCTCCTGGTGATTGGCCCAAAGTCACCCAGCTGCCTTTCATGCCCAAGGTGGGACTAGAACTCCCAGTCTTCTGGTGATTGGCCCAAAGTCACCCAGCTGCCTTTCATGCCCAAGGTGGGACTAGAACTCCCAGTCTTCTGGTGATTGGCCCAAAGTCACCCAGCTGGCTTTCATGCCCAAGGTGGGACTAGAACTCCCAGTCTTCTGGTGATTGGCCCAAAGTCACCCAGCTGGCTTTCATGCCCAAGGTGGGACTAGAACTTTCATTCTCCTGGTGATTGGCCCAAAATCACCCAGCCGGCTTTCATGCCCAAGGTGGGACTAGAACTCCCAGTCTCCTGGTGATTGGCCCAAAATCACCCAGCCGGCTTTCATGCCCAAGGTGGGACTAGAACTCCCAGTCTTCTGGTGATTGGCCCAAAGTCACCCAGCTGGCTTTCATGCCCAAGGTGGGACTAGAACTTTCATTCTCCTGGTGATTGGCCCAAAGTCACCCAGCCAACTTTTCTGCCTAAGGCGGGACTAGAATTCACTGACTCCTGGTTTCTAGGCCAATTTTAATTACTAGCAAAACTGGCTCAACACATGTAAATGGGGATACGTGTATTCCCCTTCTCCATCCATCCATGGTAATTTTGTGGCCTCTTTTTGGCGGGTGGGGGGGCTGCTTCTGGGTGATACAGGCGTTCGGGGCTGCCCCGCTGGATTCTGGCTGCTTGTCTCTTCCTTTCCATCATGGTGATGCTCTGGCTGAGTTGCGCCAGTTTGGTGACTGCGCCGGATCAGCACGTCAAGACTCAGGTAGGGAGAAACGAATAAGAGGTGGGTCCTTTCTGTAGCTCAATAACAACAACAACAACAACAACAATAATAATAATTATAATTATAATAATAATAAAGTTGGAAGGGACCTTGGAGGTCATCTAGTCCAACTCCCTGCTCAGGCAGGAAACCCTATACCATTTCAGACAAATGACTGTCCAGTCTCTTCTTAAAAATTTCCAGTGTTGGAGCATTCACAGCTTCTGGAGGCAGGTTGTTCCACTGGTTAATTGTTTTAACTGTCAGGAAATTTCTCCTTAGTTCTAGGTTGCTTCTCTCCTTGATTAGTTTCCATCCGTTGCTTCTTGTCCTGCCTTCAGGTGCTTTGGAGAATAGCTTTACTTCCTCTTCTTTGTGGCAGTCCCTGAGATATTGGAAGACTGCTATCATGTCCTCCCTCATCCTTCTCTTCATTAAACTAGACATACCCAATTCCAGCAGCCGTTCCTTATACGCTTTAGCCTCCAGTCCCCTGATCATCTTTGTTGTTCATCACTGTAGAAGAATACTTTTTTTCAGGACTTTTGAGGAATTTGGATTGCATGAACTCTAACTTGGGGTTCTGTAGATCAGGAAGACGAGTAGGGAGGTTGCTTCGGCCCCTGACTTTTTCCAAAAATCATTTATCAATCTTTAAGTACCCAAAGAGTCACTATTGTTTTCTTTGGCAACCGGTTAATCTGGGAATTAAAGTGTTTGATGCATTCAGAAGGAATTAAATACCTTTTATTATCAATTTTAATAACTAATCAATGTATTCTGATATAACATTTTTGCTCTCAAATACACACATAGTCCTTGGATTATGACCCTTCATTCAGCGACTGTTCAAAGTTACGACAGCTCTAAATGAATGGTACTTATGATTAGTCCTCATCATTCTGGCTGTTGCAGCACCCTCGTGGTGATGTGATTGTGATCTAGGCACCCAGCTTGTGATTATGCTGTTGCAGCAAGTCACAGTCACGCGGTCCTGATTTCCGACTTTCCTTGACCACTTCCTGCAAGCAGAGTCATTGGGGAAGCCAACAGGAAGTTGAAAGTTGCTATCACATGAGATCCTCACTTAGCAACCTGTACAGTCTTCATTTAACAACAGCAATGAGGATTGCTGGAAATGCTCTCGCTTTCAACGCCAGAAAAGTTATTCATCATTTGAACCTACAGCGAGTCATAATCTCCTTGCTGGTGGCGATCGTGTAAAAAAAAAAACACGCAATATTTGTGAAGCGCAATACAGCAAAACACAATAAAATGAGATATCCTGTTATTTAGTTAGTTATTTATGTTGGAATTGCTCCCAAAAGTTTTAGAAGGTACCTGAGGATAGCAATAATCATAGAGCTTATATATTGCACCATAGTGCTTTACAGCACTCTGAGCTGTTTACGGAGTCAGCCTGTTGCCCCCAACAATCTGGGTCCTCATATTCCAACCTCGGAAGGATGGAAGGCTGAGTCAACCTTGAGCCATTTAGGATCGAACTTCTGGCTTTGGGCAGAATTAGCCTGCAATACTGCATTCTAATCACTGTGCCACCAGGGCTCATGGTAGGAACGGTAGGGAATTCTGGGAAGCATAGACAGAATGCAGCTGTGAGATAAGGTATTGGGGAAGACTGCTATGGCCACTTCCCTTCATACAATTATAGGTAGTTCTCTACTTACAGCCACAATTGGGATCAGAATTTCTGTTTACAAGCAAGGCAATTGTTAAGTGATTTGCTCCCAATTTTGTGATCTTTTGGCCAGGGTTATCAAGCAAATTACTGGAATTGTTAAATGAATCATGGGATCCTTAAGTGACTCTGGCTTGTCCCATTGACTTTTCTTGTGGGGAGCCAGCTGGGAAGGTTGCATATGGTGATCACATGGCACTGGAATGCTGTTACAACTGTTGTAAATACATGATGGTTGCCAAGCGCCCAAATTTTGATCAGGTAACTGTGGATGCTGCAATCGTCATAAGGGCAAGGACTAACCATAGATCATTTTTTTCAGTGTCGCTAAACGAATGGTTGTGAGGCCTGACTGGATAGAGTTGGAAGGCACTGCAAGAGAGTCCTCTAGTTCAGAGGTCTCCAACCATGGCAACTTTAGGACGTGTGGACTTCAACTTCCAGAATTCCTCAGCCAGCATGGCTGGCGGAGGAATTCTGGGAGTTGAAGTCCACACGTCCTAAAGTGGCCAAGGTTGGAGACCCCTGATCTAGTCCAACTGTCTGCAATGTGTTGGAAAACCAATTAAACCAGGAGTGTCCATCCTTGGCAACTTTAAGACCTGTGGACTTCAACTCCCAAAATTCCTCAGCCAGCCATGGGGAATTCTGGGAATTGAAGTCCACCGGTCTTAAAGTTGCCCGAATTAAAAGAATCCTCAAGAAGCGGCTGACCAGCCTTTTCTAAAACTGTCCAAGAAGGAGAACTATATGCTGACTTTCAATGACAGCACAGCTGTTTGTTTTTTTTTTGTAACATCCTGTCTCTTTCCTTCTAGCCCCTGAGCATCAATGGAGACAAAGAGTACCTGGAAGACCTAGACGGACCTGTGCCCTATTCCTTACGCCCCGTCATTGCTGTGGCCATCTGTCCCGCGGAGGAGAACAAGGAAGCAGGCCTACTGCCGGTCAAGGTGGATTTAGACAAGACTGTCCTCTAAAGGGCCTGCCCCTGCCCCCAGTCTCCAGTCCTCTTAATGCCCCATCCGCCTCTCCCCTCCTCCTGAGTTCCTCCGAACAACCTTCCATGATGCTTCCCAGCTCCTCCCATAGCACATTTTGTTCACCGCTCTTTCATCCAGGAAGGTCGTGAGAAGCCCAGCAGTTTTCTGCAAGACTATGCTGGAACATCCACGTTTATGTCTTTTCACCAGCAGCACCACAACTTTGGTTGTTGAGAAAGAATGGGCCAGAGAGACCCTGACTCTCAAATGCTGCCATTGGTTTTGTGACTTTTGAAACGAACAAGCCCTGGTTGTTCAAAAGGTCTTGAGATTCGTTAGGGGGATTTGGGGAAATTGGCTTCACTTTACTGAACAAGGCTGGGTGATTCCCTGTCCCTCTGCCTCAACACCAGTGGGGGAGCTGCTGCTTATCCTGGTCTTCTTTTGCCTAAAAGAATTGGGGGGGGGGCCTTAATGGGGTGATGCCTGCTTTTTACCTGAGCTTTGGTGGGAATACAACATGCAGAAAAGCCGAGGGTTGCTGATCATGAAAAGTTTGCTGTGTTTCTGTGCCCTGATTTGCCTGACAGACTAGGACAGGGTTCAGTGGATCATGATTTCCCAAGAAGCCACAACTGCCTAGGTTGGCACACTGCATGAAACCATTGTCTGCCTATTTGAGCAGCTGAGTTTAGTTTAATATTTACTTAATACATTTATAGGGCCGCCCATTTCACTTGAACATGACTCTGAGCGGCATACAACCAACACTTAATATCATAGCTGTTTTTTAAAAAAACTTAAGCATTCAAATGAAAGTAGGATTGCAAGAACGTAGGATTGCTAGCTAAACACAATATAACCATCCTGCAGGCTCCCGATGGGATTCCCAAACCCTATCCTGAAAATCTAAATTTTCAGGGCTTTCCAAAAGACTAGCAGGAATGGAGCTATTATCATGTTGGTATGAGTGATGCTTCAGGAGCCACAGCAGGAAAGGCATGCCTTTTCTGTTCATGCAGCAGGCTAAGCCACAAAGAAGCTACCTTACAGTTTAGATTGCAGTGTGATCCAGCTTACTGTATGTTTCCTTTTTTCCCCACCTCACATCAAAATATATTTTGACAAACAAGATACAAAGGAAAAGCAGATTCCTCTGGATCAATGTTTCTCAACCTTGGCAACTTTTAAGGTGCGTGGACTTCAACTCCCAGAATTCCCCAGCCTCTTTCCAAAGTCTTCTTTTGGGACTTTGGCCGCCAGGAAATACTGACCATATTGGATATAGGGGGCAAGCCAGATGATTGAGTGTGAAAATGGGTTGGACCTAGATGGGAGCTATAGGAGCTATGGAAAACTCCTCCCCGCCCCCCAATTTCACCTAAGAGAGAGACAGTCAGGCATCGGCTCAGGATGCTGCCATGTCCTCAATTCTAAGATCCTTCCCTCCTGATCACATGACCCAGAATGGAGCTGCCTTCATTTTAATCCTCCTTCTTCTTGGCCACACGATCCAGAATGGACTGTTAGGTCCTCCATTCTAAACTCCCTCCCTCCTGGTCATGTGACCCAGAATGGAGCTGTCCTTCATTTTAGCCTCCACCTTCTTGGTCACATGATCCAGAATGGAATATTAGGTCATCCTTTGTAAGCTCCCTCCCTCCTGGTCATGTGACCCAAAATGGAGCTCTGACATCCTCCATTTTGAGCCTCCTCCCTCTTGGTCACATGACCCCCCAAAATAGCTGCCACATCCGCCATTCTGAGCTCCTCCCCTCTTGGTCATGTGACCCAGAATGGGTTTTATGTGACTTGCCCTGTGTTTCCCAGTTTGCTCAGACACAAATGGGTGCAATGGGAACAAAGAGCAAACATTGCATGGGAACAAACATTGCATTATTTCAATACCCACAAAAAACTAGGCACTTATGGCTACTGCTTGGAAAGAATTCCAGAAGTTGTTCTCTGTTCTCTCCCTGGTTTCTTTTTCTCTTGTGACAGGGGGCCCTTTAGCTCTGTGAGTTTGGATCACAAGCTAGAACTGGCCTATAGCATGCGTAGGCCTGCAGCAAGGATCTAGTCTCTGGGGCTGGGTATTCCTTTCTTGGCACTGCAATGCCAGTGTTTCTGCCCCCTCCCCCAGATCAGATAAAGAACTGTCAGCTTCATTCACACAACATGCTTAGCTTGATTAGTGTTAGCCTTGGTTCAGTTCTCTGTGGTTTAGTTGGGCGGGGGAGTTAGAATTTTCTTTAATCCCTCTATTATTTTTGTAATATAATTCAAGGTGACAAACACACCTAATACTCTGTTGCTCCTCCTATTTTTCCCACAACAACAAACCTGTGAAGTAGGTTGGGCTGAGAGAGGGCGCCTGGCCCAAGGTCACCCAACCAGTTTTCATGTTTAAGATGGGATTAGAACTCACCATCTCCTAGTGATTGGCCCAAAGTCACCCAACCGGCTTTCGTGCCTAAAATGGGACTAGAACTCACAGTCTTCTGGTTTCTAGCCTGGTGCCTTCACCACTAGATCAAGCCAGCTCTCTTGTTGGTTTTATTCTGCAAGTCCAGAAGAATGGGCAAACTCAGTAATCACGTTAAGTATGCTAAGGGGAGGCAGCCAGGGTGCACTGTGTCTAAACATTGAGGCTCCAAGTCTGAGGCTTTCCTTCAAAGCTGCACTGTCTTTTTTTTTTTAACTTAAAAGTCCCACATCATTGGGAAACACCAAGATAAGAAAACAAATTAAAGAGCAAAGGGGTACATGGCTTCCTTCCTCAGGATCACTGACGCAAAGCGAAGTTTGCTCCAAAACGATTCTCAACCTATCATCTGCCCTGATTTTACTCAGAAACTTCTCTGGGCCTTAACAGGGACACGTTGTTGTAGTTGTTACTGTTGTTGTTTCTATTAATTATTATTATTATTATGCCCTTGATGAATGCAGGGCACTTTCGCGAACCCAGTATGTGTTTGTGAGCGATGCCCATCCTTCCACTTTCTCCCCTCTGGAACCTCACCATGTACAGTAGTTATTACAAGTGCAAAAGTTTCTTCCCTCGCGAACTGGTGTAATTTTTTTCGCTTGCTTGTACATTCAGCCTAAGGATTCTCTGTACATAGATTTAACTTATCTCCTCACCCCACTTTTGGCTCTCTAACTCCCTTCCCCACGTATCAGGGTGCGTGTCTGCGTGTGCGTATGTGAAAAAAGATGATGTCTGTGACCACGCAAAGCCTCACACACACAAAAAGGAGTGGATCTTTGATCGTGATGTTGTGGTCGCCATCTTGACCTTTTTTTAAACCGCTTCTGCGGAGACGTTTGCTGCATATTCTGAGTTGAAAATACTGCTTAAAATGTATGGGGCAAGAGCCGTCCCCAACATGGTGCCCTCTAGATATATTAGGGCTGTTTAATTCCCAGAATGGGAAGTCAGCAACATAGCTGGAAGGCGCCAGGTTGAAGAAGTCTGGGTGAAGCCAATCCAGAGCCTTTAGTTTGGCTAAAAGAAGCTTGCTTTGCACAGTTAACTTTTTAGATTTTTGAAACACTTAACTCTTAAATATATTCTGGCATTCTTCATATGGGAAGAGTATTAGGAAGGTTTATATATATTTTGTATCTCTCTGAAGTTCATTCACCTTTCATCAAAATTTCTGCACCTAACTATTTGCGTGAAAAAAAATAAGCTATCTTTCATGGTACCTTTGTTCTGCCTGGCTTGTTTTAATTCCCTTAAAATTGTCTTTTTCTCCCCCTCTTCCTAGACTCTACTTTTTCTTTCCTCTTGGGGGAGAGTTACAAAGGCATAAGGCCTTGGTTGAACTGAGGTGAGACTTGTTGAAAACTTGTATCTGCTAACTATATCTGTATCTTTAATAACCCCTTCTGTCTGTCCCGGAAATCCGGAGAAGTTGTTTATTTAGTTTATTAATTTAAATTTTAAAGAAAAGATACAATAAAATCAAAGCTGTGAAAAGGAGCTGTCATTTTTATTATTTTTTTAGTTTGAACGTTTTTTTTTTCTTTTGAAGACTTTCAATCAACAACCCATGCTATGTGCTCATTGCAAGAAAGAAATTTGGAGATTCGGACCTGAATAACTTTACATTTATTACAGATACACCTTTACAGAAATGTTTCAGGACTCTCACCTGATTAAAGAAATCTAATTTAAAATATTGTGTGAGGTCTACTGTAGCTGATGCATTCGGCACATATTTGGATAAGTTTACCTATGTTTGCAAACAAATAAAGTGAAGTGGAAGAACGAGATATGCTTCTTTTGTCTAGCGGATCCATTTACTGTATGCAATGTACAGTGTTAGAAGAAGTATCCTGTTTTCTGTGAAGGAAAAGTGGTAATGCCTCTTCTTAATTAGAAGTGCATATTCTTAACTTCGAGCTGTGTGGGTGGCAAAACCTTGGATTATCTCATTAAAAATTCCATGAAATTATAATGGGGAAGGGCTCATTTAAAGGCTTTCTGGAGCCCAAGATAAGCCTTATTTATTTTTATTTATTTTACAAAATTTATATGCCGCCCTTCTCCCCATGGGACTCAGGGCGGCTCACAGCATGTTAAAACAATATACTGAATTACCCCTTCTAAAAACCAATTAAAATCCAAATATTAGTGGCTGTGACTATTTAAAATCATTAAAAATTATCCCTATTTAAAATTCACTTGAGGGATCACTTGAGGGATCAATCCAAGGGCCATTTAGTTCAGCATTTTTCTCATAGCAGCCCGATTTATATCTTGATTATATTTACATCATCTGTAGCCCAGCTGATCTATAGCCTCTAGGATACAGTACTCACAAGTGGGAAATTGTGAATACTCCTCCCTGTACATGGAATTATTCCAAATATTTGGAGGCCTGCTTCCTCCAGTGGTAACACTGTGTCTTGAAGGCTGATAATCCTTGATATTTATTTTTAACTCACTTTTATTGTTTTATAAATATAGATACTTGTTTTGTTTGAAT